TATAGGCTATATATAATTACTGGTATCCAAGTAGATTGTATGCCTATACAAATCAGCTTCCCATCACCTGGTAGTGCGGGTCATAAATCCCACAGACACACCTCCCCCTACCAACTTTTTTTCCTTCGGATCTACACTAATCTCATACAACGTTGATTTTTGTATGCAGCACAGTGGCCTAGGCTTGCTTTTCTGGCGACAGCCCATTTATCTGCTCTTTAGTTTTTGTGTTTAAATAAACTCTTTTGGTTACTTGGATTATCCGCCTCCTGCAGTGGTGAAACCATTAGTTAACATTCCCACCACAAGCCAAAGTTTTATTTTATGCTCCTAATGAGCAACTCACCATGTTGGAGTCTGTCTTTTACCAGCTATATCTGTAGAAAAAAAGAGAAACATTTGGAGATGTCGGAAGGGAGTATATGTAAACACTACCAAGATAAATGTTGCTGCTTAGGGAATAGGGTTGTTGATATGGTACAGGGTGTTCAACTATAGTGGATAGAGCAGCCAACTGGATGAAAATTGTAGCCAACTGATAAGATCAGATACTATTCCATATTAATGATCTACTTTCTAATGATATACATGATGGACAAAAGAAGTTTTATTTCCAGGGGTGGAAAATTACTGTATTCAAGTCCCTAAGGCAGCTTCCTACACTTAAATTGAGGATATTTCAGGAGCACTGGTGCCCCTATGTGATAAATAAGGACACGTTAGATTTATGGCACAATTGTATATAGAAAAAACATTAAAACAACTTTTTTTCCTTTTCTTGCAAAGTTATACTGTGCATACAGAATAAGTAAAGTTGCTGTTAACTTGAGTAATATTACACGATATATTACCCGATGTCGTCTTCTCTGTCTGTGTAGACATGCTGAGCACTGCCCTCAAACACCACAGAGAGCAGAGGAGAGACAGAGACAGACGCTGCTCGCACAATAAACACAAGTATCGATCACATGTTCCTGGTTCTCCCACCACTGACATTCCCAGTCAGTGAAATGGAAAAAAAACAGTTAAAATTAACCAAGGTTAGCTTGATGCTCGCTTAACAGGCCTTCCATTTCAGCAGAAACTAACTTAGTGAAGGAAACATCCAAAAGCGAATTACAGGATTTCTGTATTAAACGCTGCTATCACACTGGGCGGGCACATGGTCATTTTGAGACTCTGTGGTCTTTCAGGGAAAAAATATTAAGACGTCTAACACGATGAGACTTTAGTCGACGTCTTTGCCAGCTTCTTGTTCGAATTTTCCCGCTCCACCTTAAATGGTGCAGTAGTTACTTTCTGCAGCATTTCTCAATCCTGGTACTGGAGGGCACGGTATGGGAGGCAAATCCAGCCAAAAAAGAAATTAAAATTAAAACCATAAAATGAAAATGCTAACCTCTTTTTGCCATTTCTTTTTCCAAACGTCTGCGCAAATATCCTGCCAAAATTGAAAATGAAATGAAATGCCTACATTTGCAATTTCATTTTTCACATGAGCACGAGCCATTTGTGACAAAAATAAAAATAAATGTAAAACACCTATATTTTATTTCATTTTAGTCGTTATTCTGTTTTTTCATGGCCAAATCTAACATGAAAAAGCTAATAGAGAAAAGAAAATCCAAGCTTCACTTTGGCTTTGGCTTTTCTCCATGAAGTGCAGAATACGTGTCAAAACTAAAACCAAAATGCAATGTTTACATTGTTATTTCTTTTTCATAGCAATCGGCTGCATATCTGACAAAATGAAAATGAAAATGCAAAACTGATAAATCAACAGCAAAGTGACGGTTTGTGATTCAGTTTTCGGCGTCGACGCGCTTTAAGTGTCAGAATGAAAAGGCAAATGCAAACGAACATCAGCGCCACCTGCTGGACTTTTACTTTTCATTTTCGACTTTTCGATTTCGATTTAAAACTGACCAACATGCAAATATATGTTAATTAGCACTGGGCGGGGCTACGGGGTACATTTTGGGACATCCTCAGACCTCCGAGTCAGAGCGGCATCATTGCTCAAGCTAAACGACTTCGAGTCTCGAGAAAATCCATCGTGATGACTCAGATCTGGTGAAACTGAACGTCCTGTATAAATAAAAGTCTCTGACATCGATTTGCTGATTTTGTGACCACTCCAGCAAAATTCCTTCAAGGAAAGTTTTGTGTTTTTGCATATATTGCCTGTTTCAAATCCCCAAAAACATTTCAGTGGGATTTAAATCTTGGCTTTTTACTTTGCTAGGCAATTCCCTAATCCTCCATTTCTTCTTTCTGAGCCATTCCTTAGTGGAATTTGTTCCTTTGTTTGTTTGCTGAGGATCATTCATTATCCTGCTGAAAGGTCCACTTCCAATTCAACTTTCAGACAGATGGTCTTCCAAGCACTCCTTGATGCAATGCAGAATTCATAGTTGAATCAGTGACTGCAAGGTGCCTAAGGCAGCAAAGCAACTCCACACCATAACACATCCACCACCATGCTTTACAGTGGGTATGGCCCTGAAAATCTGTCTTTGGTCTGCACTAAACCATATGTTTACTCTCTTTGATTCAACTGTGCACATTAGCATAGAGCACATTATTCTAAAAGGCCTGGTCTTTGCCTGCATGTTCATTGGTAGTTTTGCTCTTTTGTTTTTTGGACAGCAAAGGCTTTTTCCTGACAAGCCTCCAATGCATCTCAAATTTGTGCAGTCCCATTTGTACACATGCACCTTCACACCAAGAGTTGCTGATCCTGTGATGAAGTTTTGGGGTTCCTAGAAACTAGTTTTTGCAACAAATTGGGAGTCATTTGAAATCTATACTACCTGTGGATGACTTTTCCTTACAGTGGGATGATTTCTGATAATTTTGAGATGTTTTTAAATCCCTTGCCAGACTCATAGACATACACAACCTTTGTTCTAAAGGCCTTAGAGCTCTTTGAGCATTTAGATTTTGGTATGACACAACACAATATGGAATAATAATTTTATAGATTTTTTAATTGATTTCTAATTATTTTAACTATGAAAATAGCCACAAAATGTCAACTTTGTCATTGTTTGCAACTGCAAACCGTTGCAACAGAAATAATAACAATAATAAAAAAAAATCTATGATCTGAAGTTTGTAGGGACACTGAAAAATAATGCTGATTTATTTAGCACATAATCTCACACTTGTAATCATTCTACCCACAGTTCTGACAGTTTTTAGAGTTAATTATAAAAATGTCCTCTGGTGATGTCCTCAAGGGGCATCTAAATCCTTGTTTTGACAAGCGGAGTTATGGACATTAAAAAATAACAATAACCCTATGCAATCCCTTTTGCTGCTTTTTCATAGTCATATAATTGAATTGTATTTAACAAAAGGATTCAGTGTAGTATGGATTTTTATTTTAATTGAGTTCTAATTATTTAAACTATGTAAATAGTTACAAAATGTCAACTTTGTCATTGTTTGAGTCACCTTCATTCATTAATTAATCTTCATTAATAGGAACAGTTTCAAACAGTAATGTTTACTTGTCCAAATATGTCAAAATTGTTTACAGTTCCTATGGTATTGTTCACACCACTGCATTTAATTACTAATTTTTTCATAATGTAATTATTTATTTTTTTTTAATGGGTGTTTCCCATGACTATTTGTAAAAAAAAAAGTTGAATTTCACAATTGCAAATGACCCAGATTGGTTCAGTTATCGAAACTGTCTTGCACGTCTGTAGACCTCCAAAAGGGGTCCTGGATGAACATCCAGAAATATGAAACCAGTCTTGCACTTCCACTGACGTCCAAAAGGTCTCCAAGTCAAATGTCCATATATAACCCATTTTGAACATCTACATCCCTGGTCCCTGGTCAGAATGTTAAAATATGAGACCTATTTTGTATGTCCACTGACGTCCAGTAGAGCTCCCAATCAGACAGTCAGATAGTGCACCCGTCCTGCACGTCCTCTGACGTCCAATAGAGGTCCTAGTCAGACGTTCAGATAGTGCACCCGTCTTGCACGTCCACTGACGTCCAGTTGAGGTCCTAGTCAGACGTTCAGATATTGAACCTATTTTGTACGTCCACCAGACGTGCAAAAGTGGGTCTGGACTGACCGACGTGATACAGACAAGATTTGAACGTCTTTCTGACGTCGCATGTTTGCTGGGTAGTGTTCTTCTAATCATGTGGCGGCAACGCTGCCTCCGGTTTTGGGGGGAAAGGAGCTTTAGAGGCGCGTTAGTGCTGCGCTGTGGGTCTCTGTGCTCAGGACTCTGTGTTAAGTTCGCTTCTGTGAGCGTTTTTTCACGATGGTCTGAATCAAACGAGGGAATTCAACATTCTTCTGGGGAGATAACGTGGGCGCTGAACGATTTTCAGGGGGCCTTCAGCACCCTCCAGCACCCCTTGACGCCACGCCTGGTTGTGTTTAGTTAGTTGGGTTAAGTGTCTACCATGAAGCGGAGGGAGCGGAGATGACCTTCATTTCTAAGGGGCTGCCCTGTATGTGCCTTTTCTGCTGGTGTCAATAAAGAGCATTAGCAGAATGACAGTGTCTCCTATGTCTCCTTCACCAAGAGGCTACAATACTGGTCATTATGACTGAAAGACAGAATGTAATCTAGTGTTCATACGCCGTTATGATGCGCGCGCACGCATAGGGGAGTTCGGCAGAATACCGACAGAAAACTTATTGAACTTGAGCGCATCTGCAGCTGATGTGCACTGAAAAAACGAACTTTTTGGTGTTGTAAAATATATTAAATGAACTCTCATAAAGTCTACACTGTAATATTAAAATTAAGTGAGAACAAATTATTTTAAGTAAAAATACACCATTTATTCTTTTAATATATGAACTGTGTTGGTTGAATAAATGTTATTTTAAATATCCTAGTTGTATTTAAATATTTTTTTTTGTCACTGTACATAAACCTAGAAATACTAAGTAAATTTTAACCAAAAGTACATCGCTTTTAAATCCGCGCATGCGCGTTGAAGGCGACATGATAAGCGCCATTTTTGAGCAGAGCTGTTTGGAGGCGCCGCGGAGGTGTAAGCTGCATGACTGGATTCTCACGGGTGTAAGGTAAGCTCACAGTTTGCTCTTTTAGAGATAATAAATGAGTTTGTGTTCATTTCGGTAGTTTGAGTTTTGCTTGTTTGATACAATATATTAGTGATGGCAAACCGAAGCTTTCTGAAGCTGTCCTCCTTACTGTGTCGAAAAATGGTTCATTACTCGAAGCTTCATGACACAGTGCACATTAGTGCCATCTGGTGGCCAAAACCTCAAAGTGCTTCGTGTATCTGGTGAACATTCGTTTTACAGCTTTTAAAACTGTGTTCGAGTGCATTACAACCATAGTATTTGTTGGTTAAATAAAATAAACCAATAAAACTAAATTGTGCGCATCTTCAATATCTCATTGCTGATTTGGGTACACACATTCAGGGTTTGGCAGAAAACTTTGATGGATGAATAAAGTAAATAAATGTATTCCTCTCTCTCCCTCCCTCCCTCCCTCTCTCCCTCCCTCCCCTACTTTACTAGAGTATTTTTATTTTGGGGGACTTTTTACTTTAACTTCACTATATTTCAAAAGCAAATATTACTTTTTCCTCCACTACATTATGTAAAATCTGTCATTACTTTTGTCTTATGCGTAAAAAAAAAAAAAATTACATTTCAAAAGGAAAGGAGCACGTAATCCCACCAATCAGGTTACAGCGCGCACTTTGTTAAAAGTGGGTTGGCCTAGACAGAGCTATCCAGTTCAACGCCAGTGCAGCAGCATCAAGTGCCAGCAGGAGCGCATATGCCAAGACGTCATTTCACAGCAATTCCTTTTCTAGCTAATGGACAAAGTGTGCCTTCAGTGTTTTATGCTTTATGATACTTTTGATAGATATCAGTGTGAGACTAATTAATGACATTGTATTGAAATATTGTTGTACCAAGAATGACTTTGAAGTATTTTTACCTAAAATGAGTCGATTAATCAAGAGTCTTGTTACAAAATTGATAATAGGACATTAGAGCCATAATAAATCGTGATACTTTTACTTTTGACACTTAAGTACATTTGAAAGCAAATACTTTTGTGCTTTTACTCAAGTGAAATTCTAAACGGAGGACTTTTACTGGAGTAATATTTTACCTTGGGTATCTGTACTTTAACTCAACTGCGTGATTTGTGTACTTCGTCTACCACTGGTTTTAGAAAACTGAAGGCATACAAGTGGAAATTAAGCGAAGAGTAGTCAAAACTACTAAAAACTACAAAACAACTAAATTAAGAATGCCCTATATTGAATTTACATTCCTTTCATTTTGCATAACACCATATGGTCCAGTTCGTGATGTACTCTTCAGTCTCTGTCTTGTCATTTCAGATCAAAGAGGAATTCCAGAGAATAACTACGGTTTCGCAAGAGCAGAGCTTCATGTACAAACTTGACCACTACACTCCAAAACTTGTTGCCCTCATGAAGGCCAAGGGAGGTGTTGTAGAGACCAAGCTGAGGCCACACTTAGACAAACTGTCAGGTTTGTTTTTTATTATTTGTGCTTTTTCACTTTTCACAGGGAGACAGACCTGTTGTCTCTCTAATACTTATACACATACATACATACTGCCCCGTGTGTACACATAAAGCACAAATCCTCACACTGTAGCTTCTGTGTCCTTGCATACTCTTTGTGTTGCCCAAATCACTACTCCTTGCAAATGCTCTTGGGTGCTGACTTGACAGTTCATTGTGAATAATATATGGTACGGTGTGAACCATGAATAATGATTCATAATTGACACAGTGTTCATCTGTTTGCAGAAACAAAGCATTGAAATGAGACAAGATGCTGTTATCCGCAGCCTCATACTGTACCTTGGCGAGAAAGAAGAACTACTTTTTGAAGATTGCCTGGTGAATTGTTCCTTTTTTCTTTTCAACAGTACAGGTAAAAATACTTTAATGTGTCTTAATTTAAACTGCAAGTTAACCATAAAATAAGAGAGGAAGACTTTAAGGGATGGGAAGCTTCCACTCTGATAGCCCACTCTGTGATAGACCACACTGAGGGAGAAAAAAACTTATATGATCTGGAAGAACAAATACAATGGATTAAAATAAGTACATTCACAAGAATTAACAGTGTTACCTGGCTCTGTAAGAATGCAGAGACAGAATATGTGGCTGAGATTCATTATTAAAGCAACATTCATTTAGGGCCTTACAATCTGTAGAGTGTAGCCATCCTTTGTCATGTTCCTATAAATGTCACTGTAAAATAGATTTCATACTTTTTTATTTTTAATATAATTTTAACAAGTTGTAATAGTGCTGTGAAAGTTATTTCAAATGATTCAAGCAGTTCTGCTTGTTTCTCAATACATTGTTTCTGTTTTCTTGTAAACTGTGTGCAGGTGGACAACCGCAGTGATGTCACTGAACACATCCTCAAGATCTTGGTCATCCTGATGGAGAGGATCCAGTGGATGTATCCATCCTTCTTGACGGTGCAGAGGTCTTGCCGGGATGCTGCAACACTGCTAAAGCTTGCACGCTGCTCATGGGGCTAATTTATGCTCTCAATCTGGCATACCCTCCAACACTGCGATTACACTTTTGAGGTTCCAGAAGCTTTTCCTGGAATTGGATGTGATTAAACTGTCCCCAAAGGTACAAGCTTTAAAGTTGAAGTTACTATCTTAAATATTTTTGCAGTGCAAGTACTTTACATCTCAGCTGCTGGTACACTCCAGTTCACTTTTCCATCTGCAAATGACTGTTACAATAACTTGTGAAGACTGACAGCTCCACTGGTCCCTCCCCTCAAATACAGCAGTTTGTCTTTACATGGAACTTCCACTGTCCAGACACACACTTGATTATTTATTTTTTTTCCCCCATTTGAAATTTGTGCTTGGCACCAGTGGCATGCACTTGACAGATATTTTTAGGGGTATAAAGATTTCCTGTTTTCACACTTAAGGATAATTACCATGCTTTTGAGTTAAACTTCACCTGACTACTTTGTGAAGCATTACTCGTTTTTTCCCCCTTTTTCACTTTTGCTCAGCAAGTCATGCCTCTCAGCTCTTTCCTATTGGTAAGCCCTCACTCTTGTGTAGTACCCCCTGTATTTCTTTTATTGATATTTATTACTGTTAAAACGGTAAAGTAACCTTTTATTTATCTAGAACTGTTAAAGGGGAATTCCATCGAGGCAATGAAAGTCAGAAATGTTTACAGTGGTGGTGATGGGAACAAGACATCCAGGTCTAAAAGCTCCCTAACAAACTTGGATGTAAGGGTTGTGAAATGCTGCTTGATGTAGGAGGCACTGCTATTATGGTAGGTGTACACGAGTTTCATTCTAAAACGTGATCAATGTTTTTATTCTAGGTGGTGGCATTATATCTAGGGTGTTGACAAAATTATTTTAGATTTTCCACAGTTTTACCATCACTTTACTGAGGCCCATGTAGAGTCACTGGTAGTTTTGGATAGTAAATAAATGGCTGTAGGTATGTGCATGGCAACCCACTTGTAATGAAATATTTAAGTTTCTCTGCTATGAGCCATTGCACATCGAACCACTCACAGACAATTTGATAAATCCGTGAAATTCCTTTTTAAAACCTCTAGATGTTCATAAATGATTTAATTTAGTTTAATCTAGTTCAGAGTGCGAGTTTGTATGTTGCAATTGCAGTGTTTCAGAGGGTTCAGAGTACTGTTTTAATTTAATATTTTAAAAGCACCAAAGCTGTTGAATGTAGTAGATTTAGGCAAGACCAAGATAATATTGACCCAAACACTTTTTTGCAATATTTACTGACAAGGGCATGACTGTTTTAACACAGTCTAAGTTAAATAGTCTACAGTATAATATACTGTATAATCCTTGTATGCAAGAACATTGGGTAGTGTTGGGTGGTGCTGATACAGATTTAAATCATCAGTTAAGTTAATTGTTAATGTTGATGATTCTAAAAGGGCTGCTAGAATTCTCGTCATGTCAATTCTTCCAAGTTCTGTTAGGTTAAAACCTCATCTTCTGTTGGTATAACTTTTAACTTTAACATAAAAGTAACATCCTAATACCTTCCTATACATTCCATAATACATTCTTATTACCTAATATCTTTAGAGATATTAGTTTAGTGGTAGGTACATTTTACTTGATTTTGGCAAGTAAGTTGTACTTGATATTACAGGAGTAAAATTTACTTTAAAAATGCTAGTGCAAATTGTTATGAGGATTTTATCAAGTAAATCTTACAAGTTTGTTTTTTCAGTGTGGGGAGCACGAAGCCCCCGTCAAATGGTGGGAGTTCAGTTTATTCCCTATATCATTTATTTCCCATATAATTTGTGCACGTCAAATATACAAATGCTTATACAAAAAGTAATAAAGCCAGATCCACAGGCCTGATTTCTGAGATTTCTGAGCTTCCATACCTGCGCTTTGCACCTTTATTTCTGCTTATGATGACAAATTCTAAATGTGGATCACTAGAAAACGACCCTTTATTCCGTAGTTGTTTGTTTTTTGATTTTATGATTAGTTTGTGAAACTGTAAAACGAAGCTATTTCTTGATTTTTCCACTGACAATAATAGAACCAGAAATCGACCCATTTTTCGTTCGGTTTTTAAAATGAAAATCAAATGAACAGAAGGTACATGGTCCTACCAATAAGAAAGGTGAGTTTTAAAAATGAAAAACAACGGTCATTGGTTTCAATTCAAATTATAGTTGCATGAAAAATTGAGCGCTGTGATTGACTATCCACATTTGAAGGTAATTAGACATGACTGCGAACATCATACATGTGTTAAACACAGTTCGTGTGTTTGGAATAACACTTACTGTGACAACAGTAACGAGCTGGGACAATACAAAGGAAGTCCCACTTGAGCTTCACCTTAGAGTTACCGCGCACAGATCGCTGAGGTTCGCTGAAGCACTTGGAGGCTTGCAACATGAATCAGGCACCAAATAACATTACAAAAAGTCTGTGAACAAAGCTTAAAACACCAGTATGTTTGTACACTGATAAAAAGACATATCTATAATTAGCCTATTTTTGTGTCTGAACCCATCCACACCCACTTACGCAGAGGAAGTTCAATGTAAACAATTGCTGTAATTTCTACAGCAATTATTTACAATAACATCCTGTATTCTGAAATTACTGCATATTACTGTATTTTGCTGTGATTCATGGGAGCTTCTGTCCAGTCTTAACAGTTTATTGTAGAATTTACAGCAAGTTCATGAACGCGAAAGGACCTCTGGGATGGCTAACGGAGGACTTCTGAAAGTGGAGTTTTGAACTAGGATTGTGGCACCTCACTGGACCTGGTGTTCACTAAAACAAATAAGTATTATTCTTAACGCTACCTATTCTTTATTCTTGTCAAACAAATGAGCTTATATTTCTAAAGTTTGCTTTATCTTGGACCACTGTAGCTAAGAGCTTTTGCTTTCTGTGACTAATACTAATCGTGTCTGGTCCGCAGCACTTAGTGTTAGCTAAGTTCTCTGAACTTGCTAAGCCAGCACAGCAACTTTAATGCCATAGCTAGCTAGCTATCTAAGTTACAACAAGATGTGTGATTAAAGGTGGCTTTGTAAGTTAGATTCCTCAACGCGTTTGTTAGATGTATGATGTGTTCCGTCGCTGAGAGTTAAACTGAAGTTAACGGACGACTTCTGGAAGTGGAGGTTTGAAAAAGGATTGTGGCGCCTCATTGGACCTGGTGTTCACTAAAACGAAGTCTTTAGCTATGTATCGTATATTCTGGTTTTGCTTCACCTCAGACATCACACGCTTTCGGGAACTTGTTCTTTCCATGACCATTTGAATCGCTTTGGTTCTTCTGCGGATTCTCAGATTCTCTGAGCTAGTTAAGTAGCTAAGTAAGCAAGCTAACCTAGCTAGCTTCGGCCGCACCGTGTGAATAGCGCCGTTTTTTGAGTGCCTTTATGTCTTATCGATTCACCCGTTAACGTTGTCACTTTGCATTACAAATGCAATTTAGCGTTTAAATGCGCAAAGGCATGTGTAGCTAGAAAATAAACTATGATAGTCACGCATGCTTGTGTTAATGTGGCTTGCTTTCCTAAGCTACCTTTTGTGGAGGGGCGTTGTGATTCTTTTTTAGGTTTAATGTGGCCAACGTGCATGCACCTTTGCTGTAGTTAGTTGTCCCTTTGTTAGTTCCATTTTTCTTTCCTCTCTCTACAAAATGTTTATTTGCCAGCTCTGTTATCATGAAAGCAGTACAGTCTTACTTTTTGCTCAGCATATGAAATTGCACAGAAATGTTCCTAATCCTGAATTTAGATGTGGCGTGCCTGATTGCCCACGTGTTTTCAAGAAGTTTACTGCATTAAAATCTCACATATACAGAGATTACAGGGTTCATCACAAGTATGCTAGGGATGCCCAAAGTCAGGTTCAGGATACAACATTGAAATGTCAAGTAGACTTCTGTCAATTCAGATGGGGTAATTTAACACAATTTTTGTCCCATTTGAAGAATCATACCCAATCAGGTTTGGAAATCACGTGTCCATTTTTGGCGCATGGTCAGAAATTTAGGGTGAAATCAACATTTGCATCACATGTCTCAAAATCACAAAAACTGTTCTGTCAGCAGTATTACCGATTCTGTTTTGGACAGTGAAGTTTCAGGTTCTGGCCAGCAGGTTTATGTATTGATATCTGAAAATGAAAGATCAGAGGATTTAGGGGAAGCTATTCTTGGTGATGTAGATGAATCTCTGTTTTTGAGGAATTTAACTCTTTTCTGTTTGAAATTACAAGCTAAATTGTTGCTTCCAGAGTCTACTATTCAAAGTATTGTTGAGGAACTCTGTTTGAATATAAGTCAGTGAGGGAACAGTATGAACAAGTGCATTTTCA